CACAAATTTTTGTGCACTAGGCCTCTAGTTAGGCCATAAAAAGAATGAAGCATTGGTGCATGCTACAATATGGTTGCTGCAACATTGAAAACATTATGCTAAGTGAAAGTAACCAATCACAAAACGTCACATGTCATATGATTTTATTCATATGAAATATCCAGAACGGGCAAATAAAATGGAGCAAGAAATAGACTAGTGGTTGCTTAGGAGTGTAATCAATAAAGTATCCAGGGTTTCTTTTTGAGGTAATGAAAATATTCCAAAATTGACTGTGTTGATGGTTGCACATATCTGTGAATATATGAAAAACCATTGAGTTGTACACTTTAAATAGGTGAATTGTATGGCATGTGAATTATATTTCAATAAAGTTGTAGGCATACCCAGTTTGGCTCAGTGGATAGAATGTCAGCCTGTGGACTAAGAGTCCCAGGTTCGATTCCTGTCAAGGGCACATACCAGGGTTGCAGGCTCGATCCCCAGTAGGGGATGTGCAGGAGGCAGCTGATAAATGATTCTCTCTCATCATTGATATTTCTATCTCTCTCTCACTCTCCCTTCCTCTCTGAAATCGATAAAAATACAGTTTTTAAAAAAGCTATAAAAAAAGTTCATAAAGGTTTTGAAACAGACTTATAAAAACCCTAACCTATATGTATTGTGCTCTGCCTCCTTACATCTGAAGTCACATGACTGTATCTACTCTTGTTACTTATCTATGTGTTAAATGCTTGCTTTAATTTTCTAAAGTAGAGATTTTACCCCCATTACTTACCCTAGACTTCACCCATTTTTTTAAATTTGTTCAAATTGTGGACATTTTTCACCTTTTGTCCCTCTGCTGAAAAAATCCTGTGAAGGAATTATTTTTTTCTATCTCAGAACTCTAGCTGCTCTTTCAGATTTTGTGTTTGGCCTATATTCAGTAAATAATGTAAGTGTTAAAGCCACATATATTTAAAGTTAAAATGTAAGTATCTTGGTTCGTTCACTGTTGCTGGTTTTATAAACTTGATGTTAAAAAAGATGTTGAGTAAGAGACTTCAGGAGCTCTGGGTGAGAGTTTAGAGTTATTAAATTTCCTGCCTTCAGAGCTGTCATCAAGTTAGCAGTGGTTCATTTCCCTTGACCCTGAAATTCACATGAACTAACCCGGGGTTCTGGGGAACAGGAAGTTAGGAATGGCAGCTCTTAGTTCGCTGACATTGAGAAGTGGTGATTTCATGCACTGAAGAGAAAACTTTAAAAACAATTGGCAAATGTCTCTCCCTCAGCCTTCCTGTTGACATTATCCCCCACCGTGTATCTCTTTCATAATCTCTTGCTTTCTCGTGGCATAGGCTTGTGTTCCCATGATTCTAGATTTTTTTCATCAAATTATCTTAATCAGAGATTTTTTGTTTAATTTTAAAATCTCTTTCTCAGTATATTTGTCATCAGGGTGCCATTCTTCTTGTCTTAAATGTATACAGACCAGACATCTGTCTCTTTCTCTCTCCCATTATTTCCTCCCTCCCTTTCCCCAAAGAACGCAGACCGTCTGGTATACTAGAATCTCTTACAATTCTCTTGGAAACTCTTATGGCCACTTTAGAAAGCTGGTTCCAGCTTATTGTTTCTTGACTGCAGAGCAAAGGAGGTCACCTTTATTTACCTGTGTCAGTTTTCAGCTATATTCCTGTGGCTTCCTTCACCCCCTTCACCTGTAGGAAGAAGGTGCCTCTCAGAGTCACCTGTCCTTTGTGCTCTGTGCTCTGTTTTTCTCATACTTGCCTGTGGCTGGAAGTCACTTCTTGTTTTATACTTGTTGGATGCCAGAAGGTTAAGAAAAACCAGTTCATTGAATCTACCTTTTTTATCTTAATATCTATTCTAATATGTTGTTTACTTAGTTAATATTTATAGAACCCTCACACTTCTTACCAACAAGTGTTCAGCAGAGCATTAAATTAAAGGATGAATAATTAACAAATTGTGGACCTCAGAAAATACTCAGACCTCTTTATTCATCTTACTAAAATAAATCTCTTCACAGGGTTTGAATTCATGGCCAAGAACAATTTCAAGCATAATGCAACAGACAAGTTCTTAATAAAGTCCTTGTATATTTTTATACTGCAGTGATCTAATTGTAGATATATCAGAGGCAACTCTTCAAATGGTATTTCAGAGTGGACTTTTATTTTAAAAATTGAAATAGCTATGTGATTTTTATTGTGAAAGAAATATAGATCAGATCCTCGAATAATATCATTTATTTAACATTGTTTAGTCATAACATTGATGAAAATAGGAACTTACCTCGTGTTTAAATCAACTAGCCTATCATTTCATCACAGTTTCAAGAACCTATTGACGTTAAGTGAGGACTTACTGTATAAACATACTGTAGACAATTTTAAAGACTATGAAAACTGGGAATACAGACTGGTGCAGCCACTATGGAAAACAGTATGGAGTTTCCTCATAAAATTAAAAATGGAACTGCCATTTGACCCAGTGATCTTCTAGGAATATATCCTAAAAATCCCAAAACACCAGAAAGAATATGTGCACCCTTATGTTCATAGCAGTGCTATCTACAATAGCTAAAATCTGGAAATAACCCAAGTGTCCATTAGTAGATGAGTGGGTAAAAAGATGTGGTACATTTACACAATGGAATACTATGCAGCTGTAAAAAAGAAGGATCTCTTGCCCTTTGAGACAGCATGGAGGGACCTGGAGAGTATTATGCTAAGTGACATAAGCCAGTCAGAGAAAGATAAGTATCACAGTGATCTCACTTATATGTGGAATCTAATGAACAAAATAAACTGACAAAATAGATCAGAGACAATGAAGCATGTAATACACTGATGAATTTCAGAGGGAAGGAGGTGGGAAGAGATTAACCAAAGAACTTATATGCATATATGCATAACCCATGGGCAGATAATAGTTTGGTGAAGGCCTGGGGAGGAGGCAGGAGCAGGGTGGAGGGGGTCAATGGGGGGAAAAAGGGGACATCTTTAATATTTTCAACAATAAAGATAAATAAATAAAAAGACTATACAAAAACTTGACTAGAAGCCATCTAGCTTATTGACTTTTGAATATGTAGCACTAAGAACTATTTTTTATGTCTACACATATCTATATATATCTATGTTAAAAGCAGATTTGTTTATGACAACTATTTTAATATTGATAGTGGGGTCAATTTAGATTTTGTAACAAAGGAAAATGGCTGTAGTAGATTAGAATGGAAGGTGTACAACAGCTAGGAAAAAGTCCATGTTAACTGTGAAGGAAAACAAAATGAAGACAATCTGTAAATACATTATTAAACCCAGTCTACCATATGATTTGCGTTGAAAAATGACATAAGCACAATATAAAAACCTCTGTACCTTATGAACTCCCTAGAAAGTTGTCTGGAGTCTCTGCTATGAAATGCCCGGTAGATGAGATTCTACAACACAATTAAGTGGCTCTGCTTTTTCCTTCCTGAAAATGAAAATTATACTGTTGTTTCCCATAATAGAAGTAATTGTGAAAAATATTCAGAAACTAAAAACCCAAAAGAAGAAAATCACTCATAATTCCATAGACAAAAATATATCATTACAGACTTTTTATAATTTAATTTTTATAAAATTAGAATATTATAAATGCTTCTTATAGCTTTGTACTATCTAACAAGATTTTGTGAGCATCTCTCATGCCAATACATTCAGTTCTATATAATATTTAATGGCTAAATAGTGTTCTATTTTAGAATGTACATTAGTTTACTCAAATAGTCTTCTAGTTAGGTTGTAATCCAGTTTTAGCTGTTCTCTATAGAGCTGTGGTGGACAGTCTCACACATTATTTGCATACTTTTCTGCTTATTTTTTTTAGGATAAACATTGTTGGGTCAGAGAGGGTTTATGCATTTTTCACCTGGTTTTCAAACTGGCCACCAAAAAGGAATAATACATTTATTTTTACATCCAAGATAGGCTCAGTTTATGCCACATTCTGTACTGTACTGCAGTGTTAGTGCGACTTCAGTAATACACAAAGTCACTCCACTGAACTTGTATTATGATGGAGTTTGTTTTGTATTCGAATTCTACATGTTAGATGAGTTAAGTCCAGCAGTGAGGGAATTGTTTACAGTTGCAACTTGGATTGCATGATACTCGTTTTGAAAAGCTGTACTCTGCAGAGAGCAGTTAAGCTGTGACACTGTGTGTCCTTACCTTGTTGTAAAGGGGCTTAGTCATAGTGCATGATCCTTTCTCCTCTCAGATGAGTGACCGAGGAGGTGGTGTTCCGCTGAGGAAAATCGACAGGCTCTTCAACTACATGTATTCAACTGCACCCCGGCCGCGGGTCGAGACGTCCCGAGCAGCACCCCTGGTATGTGATCAAGAAATAATGAAGTGCGTCTTTGTGAATTGCCAAAAAAAATCACCTTAGTTGCCAAATAAATCAGTGAAGCCATTGTGTAGGGCACACCCCAAGGAAAAAGGGAAGCTATTAGGAAAAAAACACTTTCCTCTAAATTTTAATAGCGTTACATTCTGGTTATTTTTTTCTTTTGATTGAAGAGCACAAGACACAGAGTATTATTTTGGAGCCCTCGTTGCCAAGCTTGATAGTGACATGTCAGTAGTTTTCCTGTGGTAACTGCATTTGATACACTGTTTCTAAGGTGAAGACTAAATTAGCAGTTTTACTGGTATTTGGTCAAGACTGATTTTATCTTCAGTGTTCACTTTTCCCCCTCAAGTACTTATGATAGAAAGATCTCATATTCTAGATTCAGAAATAAGACTAGAGTTCTGATCAATTTAATCATCGACCTGGAAATGGCTCCAATTATAATCATTTTGCTGGTATTTTTTATTCATCTTAATAGTATCTATTTTCAGGTTTAATTAAATTAG